CCAGCAAAAACATCTCTCAAAAACAAAAGCAAAATAAAGATTTTTTTTCAGAAATATCAAAGCTGAAAATGGAGTCACCAGCATTATTAGCCCTTACAAGAATTGGTAACACATGTTCTGGGCAGAAGGAAAATTCTACACTAAGGAATGAAGAACACCAGAAATGGTATGTATGTATGTAAATATTAAAAACTTTTGTTTTTTCTTTTACATCTCTCGAAAAGAAAAATAGCTGTCTAAAGAAAAAATAACAATACACAATGAAGTTTATAACATATGGGGAACATATGTACAGGGCTGGCAAGAAGAAATGAAAGTATACCATTAAAGTTTTTATATTATACATGAAGTCATGAAGTGGTATAATGTTAACTGAAGATACACTATGATAAGATAAAAATATTCCAAACTTTAAAGTAAGCACATACAAAAAAGAAAAAGTTATAGCTAATAAGCTAATAACATTCAAATCAAGATAGAAAAGATGATGACATTTTGTGCTAAATTTGTACATACCATCTAAAATCCTTAAAAAATACACACACACACACACACACACACACACAAAACAATGTAATAAAGATTTATGAATTCTGAAAGCAAAAAAAAAAAAAAACTAAAAATAATCCAAAAGAAAAAAGAATTAAAAGGGAATAAATAATAAATGGAATAAAACAAATAAAAAGATGATGAATTTTAAACCCAATTAAAAGTTATAAGCTGTCACATTGGCAAAAATAAGCAACACTCAACTATATGCTGTCTCCTATAAATTCCCTTTAAATATAAAGACAGAAATAAATTAAAAGTAAAAAGATGGAAAAATATGTTAACACTAATCAAAAGAAAGTGATTGTATTAATAACAAAGTAGATTTTATAGCAAAGATTATTAGTAAGGATAAGGAAGGACATTTCATAAAGACCAAAGGGACAATTCATCAGTTAGACATAACAATCCTAAATGTTTATGCACCCAATTGACAGAGCATGAAAATATTTTAGACAAAGACTATAGAGCTGCAAAAAGAAACAGAATAATCATATGAGAGTTAGAGATGTCAATATTCTTCTCTCTCAATAATCGATAGAACAAGTAGACAATCAATAAAAAGACAAGAGACTGAACAATACCATCTACCAAATCAACCTAACCATTTATAGAACATTCCACCCAACAACAGCAAACCATACATTCTTTTCAATTGTACACAGAATCTTTACCAAGATAGACCATTTTTCTGCTCATAAAAAGGTCTGAAAAAAATGTTTAAAAAAAATAAATTCATACACATTATAGTCTCTGACTGCAATGGAATTAAATTAAAATCAATAACAGGTCTCAAAAAAGTTCCCCAAGTGTTTAGAAACTAAATAAAACACTTTTAAAAACCTATGAGAAAGAAGAACTCAAAGGGTATATTAGAAAATAGTTGGAACTGAATGAAACTGAAAACACAACATTTTAAAAGTTGTCAGTTGTGGCAGAAGCTGTCCTAAAGAGAAAATGTAGAGTATTACATGCCTTCATTAGAACAAGAGAGTGGTCCCAAATTAATGTTCCCAGGTTCCATCATACGAGACTAGTAAAATCAGAGCAAATGAAACCCAGAGCAGGCAGAAGTGAATGAACAATAAAGGTCAGAGGGGAAATAAATTAAATAAAAAACCAAAACAATAGAGAAAAATCAATGAAACCAAAAGCCGATTCTGTGAGAAAACCAATAAAATTGACAAAACTTGCAGCCACACTGAGCAGAAAATAAGACAAAATACACAAATTACCAATATCATTATTATAGAGTCTATAGAATAAAAGGGTAACAAAGCAATATTATGAAGAACTTTCTGCCAACAGATGAAAGAAACAAATTCCTTGAAAAATGTAGGCTACTATAAAGGTTCACAGTGCCTTGTTCTCCAGAGAATTGTTCTTGGCAGAGTGGAGCTGGCTACTTGGGGGTTTGTGGCCTCCTAGGGAGCCACCCACAAAGGATAACCCACTGGTACATGGGGTAGAAAACCAGTCCACTCCACTCCCACCCTCACTCTCATCTCAAGTCAGGACCAGTTCTGGGCTGCAGTTATTCTAGCGGTCCTCTAGAGTCAGGCTAAAGCT